TAATGCATGAATCAAAAGCATTAAGTACTGAAGCGCCTGGCTGGACTGGAGGTGGTGGAAGAACATAGAACAAAATTATTTCATGCTCATAACCTGGGATGGCAGACCTGGATCTCTCACCAGAGTGTTGGCCAGGCATTTTGTGCCTGTAACACAGGGATGATTATACAGAACTTCCTTTCCAGTGCTTTAAGATCTCTAATCGAAATCTGTAAATATCAGGTTACACCATGCGGTCCATATGCAGGTGTAGTACTTATACAGCTCAAGGTGGTAGGAGAAGCACAGGTCTACCAACATCAATGCACTTCATTAGGGAGCTCTGTTTCTGAATCCAGGTAATTAAGAGTGGAATAAAACCTGTACAGCTTTGCAAGCATCGCCTGTAGGATCCCCAATGTCCTCTCATGCGATACCCTGCTTAGGAACCTCCACTCCACCGACTGCCCGGCCCAGCTTAGCTCGTGGGTTTCAAGAGCTCACAGCCCAGCTGTGATTTCTCCCCATCACACTGCATTGCAACCTCTTCTCTCTGCCTCCTGCAGGGAACTGCATGAGTGAGTTCATGGGGCTCATCAAAGGCCACTACGAAGCAAAGGAGGAAGGCTTCCAGCCTGGAGGGGCCAGCTTGCACAGCATGATGACTCCTCACGGGCCAGATGCCGGCTGTTTTGAGAAGGCGAGCAAAGCCAAGCTGGAGCCTGAGCGGGTCGCAGAAGGGACCATGGTAAGGAGCCACGGGAGCTAGTAAGATTTTGAATACAGCATGGTATAGTGCCGCCGTGCCACTCTCAAAGTACAGCCTGGCTTCTTGCTGGCAAGTTGGAAAAGTACTCGGACCAAACTGCTGCAGTATTCACCTCCCTTACCGATCAGCAGCGTTCAACTCCCAGGAGCTCCCCTGGAGACATGTGATGCCGGGCAGCTTTGATCATCTGCCCACATAAATTGTTGCCTGAGCAGGAAGATGGGAATTTTCATGCTGATTAAATTAATTTTTGTCTTAGCCTATGGACAAAGAAGCGAAACCCCTGCCTGTCCTCCTTTCTCCACCCCCTAAAATCTAATGATGATCCTCAACAGACCTTGAACTAGAGCTTTTGGAACAACCTGGCTTTCCTGGGCACGCAGGGAGTCCAAAGTCAGTCCTGAGACCTGGTTAATATCAGCATTGCAACATCAGCTCTGAAGAGCTTTCTCCCCCCGGGGTTGATCAGACTGGAGGCAGAATTTGGCAGCGCCGGACCATGCGTACAACTCCCATTTGTGGTAGAGCACAGCCCCCTTGCATGGATTTAAACTCTCGCTCTCTTGCCCTAACCCACCTTCCCTCTTCCCAACAGGCCTTCATGTTCGAATCATCCCTCAGTCTCGCCGTCACCAAATGGGGCCTCCAGACCTCCAACCGCCTAGACAAAAACTACTACAAGTGCTGGGAACCTCTGAAAAGCCATTTCAACCCTAACTGCAAGTAAAGAGAAGTATTTGTTGCTTCCAATACATGGGTGAAGGCAAGGAAATCCAGCATACCTACGTGTGGTGGCACAGTCAACTCGGGCAACGCAGAGTGCTCCAGCAGAGAATGGCACTTCCAGCAGCCACCGAGCCACGAAAATTATCATCCCTATGTAACTTGGAAAATGCAGTAAAAAACCACCATTATTCTTAACTTTCAAGTATCCAATTAAAGCTTTTCTGGTGACACACTGAAGTACTTGTGCGGCTCCCACCACATGTAGTTGGTGTGAATGCCGTACCTTGTGTGGACACGAGGTGACAGCCAGTCCCTGTTCCCAGGGCCTCCTAAAAATACAACCCGGTGTGTCTTTCACAGGGAGAAACTAGGGATCAACAAAGCATTTTTTGCTGTCTGTAAAGAAAGAGATTTACAAACAGAGCTGAAGGCTCTCCCAGACCTAAAGCCTCCTATTAGAGCAGGCCACTTCAACCTGCTGATCTGTGGAGGGTTGCCAAGGAAAGACTTGACTGTCAGAAAAGTAGACCGCAAATTAGAAGAGGTTGGAGAATCCAAAGCGGTTCACTGCTAAGTGAGGGAAACTTTCCTTTCCAACCCCACGCTCTGGCCATCCTTCAACATCGACTTGTTTGTCAGCACTTGACAAATTCTCTTCCTAGTTAAGTGGTAAATTGCAGCGTAGCAAATGCAAAAGTGCTTGTCTGGCCAGTCCAGGCACTTGTTCCTGGGAGGGTATCTGGAAGAAAGCTCAAGTGCAGACAACATCGCGGGGGAATCTCAGAATTCATTGGTGTATGCAAGCCTCACCCCTGGGTGGTGAGTTCCACAGGGTGGGGGCAGAAAGCGAAGCCCAAGTAGTCGGAACCAGGAGCACAGCCCCGGCACCCCAAACCTCAGGCCTGCACTTTATTAGCACATACCCACATGAAACAGCTACTAAGCTCGGTGTCATCAGGATCTATGTTTCTTACTTCCCAAGAGAAACAATCCTCAATTTTCCAAAAAAAGAAGGAAATGTAGAGCTGCGATACCTAACTTCAGTCAGTTACATCCATCATCGGTTTTGGATCTGCACCAGATCCTTGGGGAAAAAAAAGCATCAGCTTTGAGCAAGGTATTACATTATAAAATCTACAGGGAAATGTTTACTCTAAAATAGCCAGCTCAGAAAAGGACGTTCAGGAGAATCAATTTGCCAGAGAAGCTGATTTAATCAGACTGATCCAGGGATAAATGAGGTCTAGAAGTTTCACAGGCAGAGGGGAAGAGCTTGTTTTCTGTTTGGGACCCAAATTATCATCCAGTGACCTGCAGACTTGAGTTTCTCTTGCTATAGACTCATCGCTGAAGCAGACATAGGTGGTAACACATCAGTCAAGGGTAAAATTCCACGAGGCACATTCAGTCTCCTGTCTTCACCCTACATTTCTGAAGGGGAACTCCCCTTTCCTTCCTCTACGCACCCAGCACCACTGCCTCAAACCACCAACCCCACCTCCAGCAACATAGCACCTTTGTTCCTTGCAAGAAAACAGCTTGGAGACTTCTGCAAATAACAAGACAGATAAGTAGGGCAGCCTTTCCCCAAGCACCACGCTCAAATCTGCAGGGACGTAGCATCAGATACTCTCGTCTGCAAAGGAAAGGGCTGTGGCAGGTGCCGCGAGCGACAATCTGAGGCTGGCCTGGAAGACTAGAGGCACTGTGTTCCTCCACAACCCATCCCGAACCATTTGCTCCACTGGCCTGAAACAAATACAGCTGCAAGGGAGAATTTACATATGTGGCAACTCAAGTTCCAATTAGCTGAGGAAATGGGTCCTGGGAGATCAAATTAGTTTGTGGCAGCAGGAAGATAGTTAATTTAGCATGCTCAGACAAGCAATTATTTCTTTCCCTAAATACCACTTTCTCCATGCATTGATGCCTCTCTGCACTGACCCACAGCCATATCTTGTAATATCATTAGTGACAGTCTTTTAGAAGCTGTTCTGCAGAGAAAATCATCTGGGTTTGCTTTAGTTAAGCTAGCAGAAGAACAAGCCGCAGAGACAGGTGCAAGAGGGTTGCAGGAAGCACATATGGGATTGCAAAAGCAGGCCGTGGCCTTGCATAGCTGCTGCACAGCATTAGTGCCAGGCTCCCCAGAGCCTGAACGTTTCATGACCCAGACAAGAAAGGGAAGAGGCACAATGGAAAACATTAAAAAAACACCCCAAAACCAACAAACCCACAAACATTTTAAAATAAATAATCAGGAAACACATTTTTACTGTGACCGAGTACTAGCACAGGTTGCCTGGAGAGGTTGTGGGGTCTCTATCCTGGGAGATACTCAAAAGCCACGTGGACACGGTCCTGGACAACCTGCTCTAGGTGGTTCTGCTTGAGCAGGGGGGTGAGACCACATGTCCCCCCAGAGGTCCATTTCGACCTTAACCGTTCTGTGATGATATGAAAAACTCATCAACTCACTCTGATGGAGAGGGACTGCAAATGGCCCACATTTACATCCTAATCATGCAAGAAAAGGGACCTGGTATAGCTGCTTTCCCAACAGGCAGAGGGAAGTTTTCAACTTTTACATCATTGAGCTTTTGGCATTGACCTCAACATTTGGGAAGAAACCGCTCCTGTCTGATGTCTGAACAATGAGGGTTGTTTGGATCACCGTGGCACCTACAGGCCATGTAAAAATTCAAGTCAGAATCTTTTCCTTGCACTCACATTTCAGTACTTTGGCAGTAACAATTCCTGAGCCCCCTGTAGCAGTCAACCTGGGCACAAAAGACTTGTATTCTTAGAAGAATAAGCAGAGAAGGCATCTTTGCAGGCACACAGTTCAGTTATGCTTGGGTTTCCTTTTTTTTTTTTTTTTTTTTTAAATCATGGCCCATTTGCAGGGGTGAAATGGAATTCCCTTATACTCTAAGTGAGTCAGTGTCAAAAATAAAAAAAGGTTTTCTTCTTACTTGTCTCCCACTCACAGGAATCACAGAATTAGTGGAAATGGAAACACTAGTCACATACAGCATGACAATATTCAGCTCACTATTTTCAAGTTCAGTACAGTAATTTTATCCAGAAGTTTATTGCAATAAAAAAATGCATGGTTTAGGCTTGTATTTTATTAGGAAAAAGAAAAATTAACTCAACTTATTGAGAGCAGTCAGGCAGGCTCCTAAAGTTATTAAAAATGTATCACAGAGCTTGCCTATTATCCGATTAAGGAAAACCACATAGTCAAACTGACACCAGGAAGAAATACCTAGTAGGCAAGCAGTAGTTCTTCAGGAAACTGCTTTGGGCTTGCTTAACATTTTAGCCTGCTACTAATTTTAAACTTCAGCCTGTGCTGCTCTGACAGCAGCAACTTCCATGGCTTAAAAGGAGCCTCTGTATGTAGACCAAAGGAGTACACTGGGTTGAGGTCAGGACACCCTCTCTGTATCTAGCTGTGTTAGATATAAAGATCCTGCGTTTGTACACTTCCCATAATTGTTAAAGAAGCAAGACAACCAACAAGCTATAAAGATTTATTCTTACGAAGGAGAAACGTCAGCACACAATACATCTTATTTTATTTATATCCCATGAACAGCGCTGCAATTCTAGGAACTTAAAATACACTGAATGGTCGCTCGTATTTACCTTCTTGGATAAGCTTCTCTTTACGATCCTGTGGAAGAAAGAGAATATTCATCATTACCCTATTAGAGAAGAAGTTTCAACCAGCCTGGGATAAAAGAAAAGCAGTTCTAGTATTTCAGCATGGACTATAGGAAGATAGCACCACTTATGATCTTAAGGGTCTTTTCCAACCTAAATGATGCTATAAGCACAAACTCTGGTAACAGCTGTTGCAGTTAAAAAGTAAAAAAGAACAAGATATTTAGCTTCACCTACCAGCTAGAGAAAACGTGCTCAGATTGACCTCTCTGCATGCCTAGCTACTCTCACAGACCAGCAGGGACCGATTCCTGTGATGTATTTTTCACCAAACTAGTTGCATCCCAGTTAACTTATACATTTTAGTTTCTACCTCCTCATTCTGGCTGAATAATCCAGTTTAGAGATCTAATTATGGAGAAACTTCTTCATAACTTGCCTAAATGTGCCCATGTCCACTTTCAGCCCATTTGTATCTCACTCTGCAGTCATGTACCTTTCTGACAGGTATTGTTGCAGTACAGACACTGCAGATATTGCCCAGATTCCTTCTGCTGGATAAAACCAGAAGACTTGCTTAAGACTTAGCAATTTATCTCTTTCTTTCCTAGACACACAACAAACCCTCCTCAGAGAAAAGAGTATAATAGCTGTTGTGCTTTATATACTACCAGAAAACCAAGAAAAATCCCCATCAGTAAAGAAGGTGCAATAAAGGAAAACAAATTGTCCTGGAGACTACATTAAAGACTTCAGCTTAAATATTCCCAGGCAGGTACGTCTAGATTTCACTCACACAGGTTTATTTTCAAGCACTCACATGCTAAGCCACACTTGGTGGCTAAGCCCAAGTGTGACTTCATGTAGAAAACAAAACCAGCATGACAAAATACTGCAGAGATGCTGAAGTCTCAAAAACATTTATATCAACATGCTCAGCATGTTTCCTAAAACCAGTATTTTCGATTCACTCTAGCGAACCACATGCCCTACAAATATTCTATTAATTTTAATTGATGTTCGTGCTTCTCAGTTTATGACTTGATCTAAAAATGTTACTTTTGTGCAGAAGAGGGAAATAAAAGTGTTTTACAATAGCCACAAATTCACTAGTAAAAACAGCCAGTGTCTGCCAGTCACCTAGCATTTTCTTATGTATGTATATAGCTGAATTTTTTCAGAATGATCTACCATCACTCAGATTCTGACGCCCACATTTCAGGAATTAGAACAGAAGCAAGACAAACCTTCCAAAACCTTACACATCCAGCTGAGATCAGGCACTGCAATCAGCATAAGTGCTCCTCCCCATTTGCTTCATGAGGTTAGAGAAACGGTCAAGCAGTTCACAGAGACATTGCTAGGTCTGTCACCCATAAGCTCCCTATTTATTTAGTTTAGAAAGGGCAGTTACTGCATGTCAACCGCTGAAAATAGGAGCCTCTTATGATTAATTTACACTGTCAGTGCTAGAGAGCTTTATTATAGCCAAATATCCTGATCTTCTGTGACTGCCCATACCCAAGGGTACAATACAGGGCTCTTGGCACAACAGGACTTTGCAACCAGTTGCAAGGCTTTGAGATAGCAGGCTCAGTATCGGCCTTCCTTCCCTCATTACTTTAATTGTATTAATCATCCTTGGGTGCAAGAGGATCCCACCAATTAAGTCTCCGGGCAGATCTACATTTTACAATGTGGTTTCCACCGACGTTCATCGCTGTCAAGTGACCTACCCTGTCAGCTTTGAAGGCAACAATCCAGAAGACGAGGGGGCCTATCGCAAAAAGAGCTCCTAGAAAGGACGTCTTAGGGGTCGGGCGGAAAGTAGGGTAGACGTTCTGCGTCCTAGCATAGGCCCAGCGGACCAAGGCAGGATTTTCCTGGGATGGAAAGAAAACCACAGTGAAGCCGAGGGGCCCTGCAACGGACACTTCACTCAGCGCGGCCCAGGTAGCCCCCGGCTCTGGGCTGGGGCCTAGCAAGCCCCAGGCCGGCAAGGCCGCCAAGGTCGCAAGAACCCAGGCCCGGGCCCCGCTCCGGGACACCGGGTGAGGCGGACGAACCACCCCCCCCCTTCCCCCCGCCCGGCCAGGCCGGCCCTCTCCACTCACGATGATGGCCGGCGGGTTGGGATTGTTAAGCTGCAGCTGATACTGCCGCTTGAGCCGGGCGCGGATAGCCAAGCGCTCGGCATCGGCAGCGCGCTTCTCCAGCGACGAGTCGTAAGTGTTGGGGTCGAGCTCGGCCGGTAAAGAGACGAAGCGGTTGGGCCGGTAGGCCTCAGAGGCGGAGGGAGGAGGAGGCCCCGCCGCCATCTTGGAGAGCCCGGCGCCGCGCAGCCTCCCGCTGCCAGAGAGGAGGCGGAGCCCCGCCTTCCCCCGCCCCACCCCCTCTCCTCGCCTCATCCGCGCGGCCGCCGCTAGCGCCCCCTGGTGGCCCGCGCTGGCTCCGCCGCCTCAAGCTGCGCCGCGATCGGCGGGAACGGCGTGTCCGTCGTCGTTCGTGTGTTTCCTCCCCCCGCCTCGGCTCCCCTCACTGGCCCGGGGTTGAGGGGGGGGCTGACGCTTAGCAGAGGGGTGGTCACGTCAAGGGAAGGTTGGTCCCTCGTTATCAACAGTCCCGGCAGGTTCAATGGCCTCACGCCTTCCCCCCGGGGAAAGAAAAGGACCTCGGGGGGGGGGGAGCTGAGGTGTGAGGGAGGCTGTGCCGTTCGTTGAGTTCGTTGCGTGCCCAGGGGATAACGGTGCCACCGCTCTTTTTCGCAGGCCTCCACCACGCACGTTTAAACAAAATATTGAATATTACATAAGTAACGTGTCGCAGGTGGGCTGGAAGTTGCAAAACCCCGCCGTTATTGACTTACAGCTACCAATCGCCTCTTTGGTTCTTTAACCGAGGCCGGGCTGGTTGGATAAGCCGCCAGATAACCTTCAGGATTGTCCTGTGGTGACTACCGCCCTGATAAACTGTATTGACGGGTTCACGAATCACCCTCTGCTGATGAACATGAGGCAAAAAAAGCAAGCTCTGGCCTGAAGGTTTTGACTTCAGGAAGTTTCTGTCTTGTCAGTATTAAAAGCTTTGTTCTCCAGAGATGTAAAAAATGCATGCCAGTTGTCTTTCTGGAAACAAACTTGCCAGTAAACAAGTTTTCTGCTGGTTTTTCTTCTTTCGGTACACAAAGCAATAATAAGCAGTTACGCTGATTGGAACCAAGTAAGTTAATGGCTGTGTATATATATTTATGGCCTCATTTACACTGGGGTAACTCTACAGACTCGTGTAATGTTGAATGAGGGATTACAGTTTGCTCCTAAACACACACAGAATAGTATTGCTGACTTTATTTAAGATGCTGTGCTTTGGCACTGCAATAATAGAGCAGAAGCTCTGCCTCACATCGTATGATTTCACTCTTCTTTTAACTAAGCACTTGAAAAACAGATAATCTCCTTTTGGCCTGAGCAGCTAATGAGGAGTTGAGACTTTGCAACTTGCTTCCAGCAGAGTGGAATACAACTTGGATATTCCTGCAGTTTGTGTACCTTGAGCACACTCCCACAGCAGAAGACGCTTTTCCCTCTCTCAAGCACAAGCCTGCAGTCCTCTCAGAAACTCTCTCCTGGTGTTTCTCCAGCTTTTCCACACTCATTTTCTTCACAAACATGCAGCTGCAGATCCAAGTGAAAACCAAGCTGCTTCATTTGCAGTCAGGTCTCAAGGAAGGACTTACACGACCTGTTGCTTTGTGTCCCAGGGCGTTCAGCTTGGGACAGTGGCTCCTGTTGCATGGAATAATTTACTCCCTTTACACTCCCATTTCATGACCATCGGATTTAGTGAGCTCTGTGTCTCCAGCTCCACGATTGTCTCTCTCCATAACTGGCATGTGGACAGCTACTCTAGCAGCACGGTACATATACCAGCAGCACTGCCATGTGGCACTCCTGTGGTACTTTCATCTTTGAGGGTTCTCAAAGACTTGGCAGCCTGTGTTTCCCTGCCCGTGCACGGCCTGCTTCTTTAAAAGCTGTTCCTCCCTGCTCTCTCTTATTTCTTAATAAATGACACATGCAGCCTTGAAACAGAGAGATTCCTGGCAGGAACAGGGATGCAGGTTGGATTAGCATACTGGGAAGGGATAGCTGCTCTGTGGGAAATGGTGGGTGTTTCCCCCCTCTTTGCTGCATCACAGAGTGGAACAGAAAACTCCTGTCCCTGCAGATCTCCCAAAGGACTTCAAAACAGCCAGATGCTTTTCTCCCAGTCTGCTGGCTCCTGAGGCCTCTGTAATGGTGTGGGACAGTTCCTGTGGGCAGAAGCAAAGATGGTCTTGTGGTGAAGTCACTTGGCAAAGGCAGCAGGTTCAGCTCCCAGCCCCGTTGTAGACTCTTTGTGATCTTATCTGTGCAGGTCCAAGTCGTGCCTTCTCCTTCTCCCCTGAGCTCACAGCTGTGAGTGTGCATGCTTAGCATGCAAACAGTGTTGAAGTTAATTCTACTGGGAGAAAAACAGAAGGTGCAAAGCTACATTTCCATTAACAATGTAATGTACTGTATTAGAAAATCGAGCAGTGAGCCGCTGTGCTGAAAACACCTTTGCATTTAATCTCTAATCACTAACTCATCCTCCCTCCCCAAGGATCAAGTTCCCCACAGGGAGTCTTTTCTGAGAGAGTCACTTGTTTCATGGGGTAAGAAAATAACTAAATCCCTTCCAGAGAAGTGTATTCTCTGACACTCGAGCCTGTGCATTGCAATTTGTTGTTTTCACTCCTCCAGAGGTGATTTTGTGCATTTTCTTCATTTCATAACAGCCATGTCTCTAACTTTAAAACACCATCTTTCAGCAAAAGCCCAAGACACCAATAGTGTCTAAACCTTGCATAAAGCAATGCAGGACAAAGACAGAAATACTGCAGTCAAAGCACTTGACTGAAATCAGTGATTCGTTTTTTTCCTGCTGACAGGAACTGCTGCACAGAGTGAGAAACGCTGCGGTGACAAACTGGACTCCTGTGCAGACCTCCTGCGTCATCTGCTCCTTCTGGGCCACCCTACAGCAGACTCTGAACACAGCCTGGCTGCTGCTGCAAACCACCTTTGAAACAAAAGATTTTGCGAGAATGAACGAGACCTCGTTTTTGCCAGCCAGATCATGAAGCTCGTTTGACTCTTCTCCTGACTGCTAGTGTTGACGTAAGACAAGCAGCAGGAATATTAAACAGGCACTAGTGAGCGTGGGGCCACTCTCAGTAAGGCAATATAGGCTTGAACTAGAATATGCCGGTCATAAACCCACGTCCTTGTGGGCTCAAACACCAAGACTTAAAAGGTAAGAGCCCAAGTGTTTTTCTTCTTTTTAATCAGGACTGATGATTATTGAATGTTTGAGGTTGGCAGTATTGAATCAAATTGACAATTCTCACATGAAAACGCCTTTGAAGTTTGCATCATCTGTTTTCTTCATGATCAGCAGTAACCAGAATGGAAAGAACCAGTCAAGAAAATTAATCTTTGTCCAGAACCCTGTGGAGGGTTGACCTTGACTGGTTGCCAGACGCCCACCCAGCTGCTCTCTCACTCCTCTTCCTCAAAAAGACTGGGGGAGAAAATGACATGGAAAAGCTCATGAGTCGAGATAAGTACAATTATTAAGAAAAGCAAAAGCTGCATACAGAAGCAAAGCAAAAAGAGGAATTCATTCACTACTCCCATCAGCAGGCAGATGCCAACTACTTTTTGGGAAGCAGGGCCTCAGTATGCATAGTGGTCCCTTGGGAAGACAAATGACATCACCACAAATGTCCTCCCATCATCCTCCTTTCCCTCAGCTTTTATTTCTGAGCATGACATCATATGGTATGGGATATCCCTTTGGTTGTTTGGGTCGGCTGTCCCAGTTACTTCCCCTCCCAACCCCTTGCCCAGCCTCTTGCCCATCTCCTTTAAAGTTGGTGGTGGGGCGTTGGAGAGAAAGCCTTGACTCTCTGCAAGCACTGCTCAGCAGTAACCAAAACATTGGTGTGTTACCAATGCTATTTTAGCCACAGATGCAAGGCACAGCACCATATGGGCTGCTGTGAAGAAGGTTAACTCCATCCCAGTCAGACCCAATACAAAGCCATCTTGAACACTGCCCTACACATGGCTGAATTTCCGAGAGTGTTCTCATCCAAATTAGTCTGAAATCAGGCACACTTCTATGACAGACTCTTCAGTTGAAGCTGCAAATAACTTCCACCTTGAGTTTAAAGTAACCCGAGATACTGACCTTCAGTTTAGACCAGTGTGATTTTGTTGGTGACTTTTCAGTCATGCTCCAAAATATACACAGACTGGATTTGTTCAACTGTATACACAAAGTCACATCTTTTCAGAGTGGCCAAGCTAAGTGACTCTGTGCTTCAAGTGGATGAAAGAAAAATTCACCTAAATCACAGACCTGTCTACCTATCTCCGAGGTGATCGTGCATGATTCCTTCAGAAGAGACAGGTTAAATGTGCTGTCATCTTGAAAAATACTTGTGTCTGTTAAACTTGTGCTGAGTGCTTGTGGTTGCCCTGTTTGCATCAGTTGTCAGGTTGGGTCAACATGTTGCTGGGCTCTGTTTTGAATTCTCACTGACCTTTTGCAAAGAAAGCAAGCTGGAAAACGGGAGAAGCTGACAAGATCACTCATATCACAAGAAGGTTCTTGAACAGAGGTCCCTTACTTCTAATTCCTACCTGTAATGGGCAAGAAGGATCATTGGCTCCTGTTCCCATTCCATACAAGTGAATGAATACTGATGTGTGTGCTGAGGGGAATTGGTATCAGGCATGCATCTGCATGGATACATCCACGGTAAAAAAGCATAGTAGATACAGAATGGGAGCAGTGTAAAGGTATTAGGACACAGCATAGTTTATCTGGGCTCAGAACCAGTGTGTCTAATTGCAGCATATAGCTATGTTAATAAATTGTCCAGATAAATGTGATTTCTTCTGCATTAAGAACTGAAGTCCCCAGTACCTTTATCTTACAGTTGTTCAAAGGAAGCCTGGCACGCAAAGGAAGGAGTTAACATGGTTAGGGGGATTATGAATAGTTCAATCGTTATTACAGCCAACAGGCCACCCATAAATGTGTATCAAATGTTGAGCTCAGCAGGAGTTAGTTACAAAACTAGGACACTTAATTAGTCATAAAGTGCCAGGAATAATGAGAGGCAGCATTAAACAAACCATTTCTGCCTCTCCTGGGCTTGTCCAGAGACAGTGACAAGAAGCCCTCTGCTGTTTCAGCTTTTCCTGCTGAAATAAAATTTTTTACTCACACTGAATTATAGCTGTTGCTGAGCTGCTTGAGCCAGGGAACT